GAAAGAAAAAGGTAAGTCATACAACCAGCTGAGCGACCAATACGGTAGTCAAGCTCAGTGGTTTAGGAGAGGGAAGGAAGGTATGTGTGTGGGGGGGTGTGTGTGCTTCAAAAAAAAAACAAACTCTCCCATATCCCATCCACAAATCCTCACAGATCGTCCATAAAACAAAAAAGGTATAGATAGGCAATATAGTAGAAGGTGCAACTTGAAGGTTGGCCATGTTTGTGTGGTTAAGAGCCAAGTGCCCACAAAGCAGCAAACTTGCACAAATATATTATAATCTCTAACAGGATGGAGGGCATAAGACCACTAGTTGCACCATAACCCGCCCCCCGCCCCCACAAGAAAACAGTGACCATGCCCTTGACCCCTACTAGGGCTTGTCTGAAAAAACTTAGAGAGTCCTCTGAGTCGCCGTAAATCAAACAAACAGTGCCATGAACCTCCACAAGCCACAAAACTGCAGAATCAAATGATCTCATACTGCTACAATGAAGCCTTTGCGCAACCTATGCCACATCCACAAGATCTTCACCTGATACCAGGGGCACTACTTCTTAAAACACACTAGAAGTCCCCATTTCTTACAATGCCATGTGCTCCAAAAGAGCAGCCACGTGTGCATGTGTGTGTGTGTGTGTGTGTGTGTGTGTGTGTGTGTGTGTGTGTGTGTGTGCGTGTGTGCGTTGCTAGAGCAGCCGTGTGTGCATGTGTGTGTGTGTGTGTGTGTGTGTGTGTGTGTTGCTGTGTGTAAACACACTCTGATGTAGCTCCAGTACACAACAAGTGTAGTACTCCGCCCGGCGGCCCCCAAGGAGAGACCCATGCACTTAACAACGTGAAGACAATTCTCACATATTAACCCCAAAGTGGACGGAAAGTTGACAGTTGAACAGTTGGAGTACAAACAATAAAGGGCATAGGCTGGAGGGCACAGGGGAGGTGGGTGGGCAAACAGACAGCACAAAACAGTGAGGCACGAAAGACAGTGCAGCAAAAGACATAGGCTCAAGGGCATGGCGGAGGTGGGTGGGCAGACAAACAGCGCAAGGCAGCAACTTGAAGGCATATACTAGGCTGGATGGCATGGACTCGCGAACAGCTCAAGGCAACAACGCGCACCCGGTGAAAGGCATAGGGTAGGCAGATGGGCAGGCAAACAGCATAAGGCAGCAAGGGAACGATAGCAAGTCAAACAACAACAAGGCAAAAACAGCAACCAAAAAAAAAAAAAAAGCTGACGATAGATTGTTTTGTCAGAGTTGCCCTGACTAATTAGGAGGCTGAACCCTCTACGATCTGCAGAATCTCTGTATTTGATGGTTTGGGTCATGAACCCTTTGACCCTTGTTGAGGGCAGACTGTCCGTAAGCGGAACATAGCAGCTAGCGACCCTGTGGAGCACCAGGCAGCACAGTAGTGGCAACATGGCTGCACAATGCCAAAAGTGACTGCAAGGAACGACATGGAACGCAGGACATGCAGCGCGGCAACCGTGTAGTGAAGCACAAGGCAATACAAGCAAGGTGACCACACAGCAAGGGACGAAAGGGTGAGCGGACCAGCAGCTTGGCAACCATGGAGCGAAGCACAAGGCACCAGCAACAAGGCAGCCATCCAACAAGGCCCTCAAGCAGCAAACATGGAAGGCATGACCAGCAGAAGGGCAGCAGGGCAGTGGAGCAGCGAACCGCAAGGCAACACCAACAACACGGCCACACCACACAGCGAACACATCAACCTGCAAAGAACCACATGCGAAGCAAGCGGGACAGGCATCAGGGCAGCGGTGGAGCGCAGACAAGCCTTAGGCCGTCCACACATCCAACACAGAGCAAAGCGGCACATGCCCTACTCACATCACAGTTGAACCCTGCAGACTGTTGGTTCCCACCACCCACGGAGCCAGGGAGACACTCCGACGAGCGTACGTCATCACCCACAGGCAACACAGACACCCCGAACCAAGCGGCCCCCCTATGAGTGCAGTAGGCACTTCACAACTGGAACCACCGACTGTTTGGCACTACTTAAGGGTGCTCAGTTTGGGTAAGCAACAATACTGAGAAATAGATAAGGGGGAGGGACGACAACAACAGGAAAACAGACAAACATAAAACTGTGTGTGTGTGTGTGTGTGTGTGTGTGTGTGTGTGTGTGTGTGTGTGTGTGTGACATGCGTGGATGTGTGGTTGATTGGGTGTGTGCACGCCTTTGTCTTGTTCATTGTTTTCCCCTTTTTTGTGCCCTTTCGATGCAAACAGAAAGCACCACCTTGCTTGCTCTTGTCCCTGAGGTGGATATTACCCACTGCACCCCCCCCAAATGGAGCCGCTCGGATCACTTATGCTCGAAAAGGATTGGGGAGAAAAGTTCCCAGAGTTATCAGAACCAGGGTTTCAAAAGGGCTCGCCAAAATTGGATAGAAATTGGAGAGTCCCTTAAACCACCGCTTCCCCCCGCAGCCTAAAGTAGGGGGGACTGGTAGGGCGATTTTTGGAACAGGCGGCTGACCTACCGGTAGCAGGGACTGCCACGACCTGTGGAGGGGTCTGAAACGTGCCAGTATGTACAGCGCCCGTAAAAAAAGGAAGTTTTTTTTTTTTTTTTTTTGAGAAGCATTTAANAAAAAAAAAAAAAAAAAACACACCAACGGACATAGTGCCAGTGAGATGGCGGACGGGTCTTTTCAGAGAGAGAGAGAGAGGCCGGAGAGAGGACCGATCGTCGTTGCGATGGATGTTAGCTGCAACCTGAAGCTGTCGTTTCGATGTTGAACTTGACATCTATGACAGCGACAACACTCTAATATACAAGGAGAGAGAGAGAGAGAGAGAGAGAGAGAGAGAGAGAGAGAGAGAAAGTGTGATGTGAGGTAACGCATGTGTCAACTTCGTGGCATGCAGACATGATAGCCAATCGCCGGGAAGACATGATGTCATCCGAACCGGCGATTGGCCCTCACACACACACACACACACACACACACGCACACACACACACACACACACACACGCGCGCGCGCTAGCGCGTGCGACGACGGGACACGCCGCTGGCGATGGCAATCGTCGTCGGCCATCCGTCGGCCGGCGCGCGGACAACCAACCAAACCCACTACCAGTCGCCGACGAACCGACACGCCCCTCACAGGCCGAAAAAAAAAACCAAAAATTTGAAAAAAACGGGGACGGCCTCCCGCAATGCCACCGGCCACAGGTATCCCGTCCGACTGTGCAAGCGGCCGACTGGCCAAATGTGAGAACGCAACTTTTAGAAAAAAAAATCAAATAACAACCGAAATCGAAAAGTACCTCGGGACACAGGCTCGGCGAATTGTGGCGCGCACCATAATTCAGGTTCGGTAAAAACAAAAGAAACAAAGAAATGCTTCTCAAAAAAAGAAGCATTTCGAAGTGGCGGCCCGTTGTTTCAGCAACGTATGGCGACTTTCCAAGTTGGGGCCAATCTCTTCAAAAACCTACAGCGAGCACAAAAGAAAAACAATGGGCCTCACTGCACTACTCTCGAAATGTGCAAAACGAGAGTGAATCTTCTGCTAGAATATGGAAAGATGCACCGCCATGATTTTTGTCTTTTGTGCATGTCGGAAGTAGTGCAGCGAGGCCCAATATGCCCGTGCATCTTTCCATTTCCTAGCAAAAGATTCAGGGCCTCGCTGC